CAGCATTGTATAAGGCACGGTGTTCAAAGCCTGTGAAAAAAGTAGCGGCTTATAGACCTGAAAGTACGGTAAGGTGGACTCCAAGGTATGCCACTTTCTGATCTCACCATCTGTCACATTTTGAATCATAATGAACTTCATCTGTCCACTGCATATTTTGTTACCCTGTGGTATTTTTTGCCAGAGACAGCCACACCCTTAAAACATTAAGTTCACAAATATTTTATAAAAATGTGTGTTGTACTGTATGTACGTTCTTTAATGTGATTGCCTGACTGTCCCCGTCTGGTATCTCTGCAGAGCCAATAAGAACATCACTCTGACTTTGTCCTGGAACGTTGTTCCCAATGCTGGAATTCTTCCTCTGGTAGCTGGAAGTGGACACGTCAGTCTGCCATTTCCTGAAACCTACGAAACCACCAAGAGCTATTAGACAAAGATCCAGTTTACTGAGACACCCCCACAGCTCATCATTTGTTGATTTGTAATAAAGAAGGGAAATTAACGTGTTTGTGTGAACATTTTGTCATTATGATAACGAGAAAAACTAATTTTAGGTCACTTCAAGCAAACACTGGACAGTTTATTGTATTGTTATGTCTGTGTGATGCATGTACTACAGCGGTAGTACAGTGGTAGTACAGTGGTAGTACAGTGGTAGTACCACAGGTTCAACAAACTGTTCTTTCCTTTGCTTAACAAGCTTAACACAACCTAAGCAGTCATTTGGAAATAACGGGTACTAAAATGGTGACTCCAAAGATTATTAAGTGAAAGAGGACATTTTATGCATTTCTGACTTTTTCTGCTCAGAATTCATCAGACAAAATTACAGGACAAATTTAAAGGCCTAGCATTACCTTTTTGTTCACTGTTGAGTTTGGGACATTTTTAAATTTCCATCAAATGCCATAGGTTCTGGCACCAGCTTTGACAAATTAATAAAAGATAAACAAGAGAAAGGGGGGGAAACAATATTATACAGACATACCACCCTCCATTGACCCAAGGCTGTCCGGTCACACCTCAAATATTGTATCTACCACCTCAGTCATGGACCCTTCTACATATTGGTCTTCAACCAAATCAGAAGATACAGATACCTCCTTTGCCTCCCCCCTCTGCGTCTCCAGAAGTCAGGTGAGGAAGCAGCTGGAGAGACTGAACCAGAATAAGGCTGCAGGTCCAGATGGTGTCAATCCCAGAGTCCTGAAGGTCTGTGCAGAGCAGCTCTGTGGGTCCTGCAGCACCTCTTCAGCCTTAGCCTGACCCAGGAGAAGGTTCCAGTGTTGTGGAAAACATCCTGTCTTGTTCCAGTGCCAAAGAAAACGCACCCATCAGTCCTCCATGACTATAGACCTGTTGCCCTGACATCCCACATCATGAAGGTCCTAGAGAGACTCTGCTGACCCACCTGACTAGACAAACAAGCACACATCAGGACCCAGTGCAGTTTGCTTATCAGCGTGGACTTGGAGTTGAAGATGCCATCATACACCTGCTTCAGCAAACTCACTGTCATGTAGAAAAGGCAGACAGCACTGTGAGAGTCATGTTCTTTGATTTCTCCAGTGCATTTAACACAATCCAGCCTGATCTGCTTTGTCAGAAACTTCAGAAGACTCAGGTGGAGGCCTCAACAATCACCTGGATCAAAGACTACCTGACGGACAGACCACAGTTTGTGAGACTGAAGGGTTGTGTGTCTAACCAGGTGGTCAGTAGCTCAGGAGCACCACAGGGGCCTGTACTCTCACCATTCCTTTTCACTCTGTACACCTCAGATTTCCAGTACAAAACAGACTCCTGTCATCTGCAGAAATATTCAGATGACTCTGCAGTGGTCGGGTGGATCAGAGATGGACCAGAAGCTGAGTACAGGGAACTGGTGGACCGCTTTGTGGCATGGTGTGGAAACAATCATCTCATCTTGAATGTGAACAAAACAAAGGAGATGATTGTAGATTTCAGGAGAATCGGGAACAGATCCAACACTATTTCCATCATGGGAGAAGAAGTAGAGGTGGTGAAGTATAAATATCTTGGAGTTCACCTGGACAACAGACTGGACTGGAAATGCAACAGTGAAGCGTCTACAAGAAGGGACAGAGCAGACTGTACTTCTTGAGGAAGCTGAAGTCCTTCAACGTTTGCAGCAAGATGCTGCATATCTTCTATAAGTCTGTTGTAGAGAGCGCTGTCTCTTCTGCCATCATCTGCTGGGGGAGCAGCACCAGAGCAAGTGACTTAAAAAAGATCAACAAGCTCATAAAGAAGGCTGGCTCAGTTCTGGGGACTCCTTTAGAACCTTTGGAGATGATTGTTCAAAGAAGGATTCTTCATTAAATGAAGAACATTATAGACAACCCTCAGCATCCTCTTCATCAGACTGTCATACAACAACAGACTGTCATACAACAACAGACTGTCATACAACAACAGACTGTCATACAACAACAGACTGTCATACAACAACAGA